AACTGTGTTTTTAGATTTTTAATTTAGGGTCCCGTTTTTATACGACCGCAAAAAAATTTTGTGGTCGTATATTGGTATGACGTTGGCGTCGTCGTCGTCGTCGTCGTCGTCGTCGTCGTCGTCCGGCGTCGTCGTCGTCGTACGGCGTCGTCGTCCGAATACATATTGGTTTTCGCACTCTAACTTTAGTTTAAGTGAATGGATCTTTTTGAAATTTGACCATAAGGTTAAATACCACAAAAGGAAGGTTGGGATTGATTTTGGGGGTTATGGTACCAACAGTTAAGGAATTAGGGGCCAAAAAGGGGCCAAAAATGAGCATTTTCTAGTTTCCAGACAATAACTGTGGAACGGTGTATGGATCTCTCTGAAATTATACTACAAGTTTCCATACCACAAAGGGATGGTTAGGATTTGCTTTGGGGGGTTATGGCTCAAACCGTTTAGGAATTAGGGGCAAAAAAGGGGGAAAAACAAGGTTGTCCTGGTTAATGGACAAATACTTTAGTACAAAACATAATTTAAAGCAGTGTAAGGGAGATAAATCAAATACATCATTGAAATTATCTCCCTTACACTGCTTTTAAATTATGTATAAAGTAATGGTTAATGAACAATAAAGATAATCTAAAACAGTGTAAGGGAGGTAATCCAAATACAACGTTTTGGTTACTTCCCTTACACTGCTTTCAAATTATGTTTAAAGAAATGCATATTTATAAAGGAAGACCAGTAAAAATATCTGCAAATGTTTTCATCTTTTTTTTTTACAAAAAAATCCATATGAAAGATTTGACACTATATTTTTATTAATTCTATTATAAAATAGATTAAGTTAGCACTATGGTAAATTTAAATGGGTAATTATGGTTGCCAACTCCATTGGAAATTTGAATTGAGATTATGACCATATCTTGAGGGAAAGAATTTTTTGGGGGAAAAAGGGGGGGGGGGATAAAAATAAATTGTGGGGGGCCAATTTTTTCTCATTTCAGATTTCAGAAATTAAAAAGAATTATTCTTCAAATATTTTTTTTTTTCAAATTTCAAATATTGAAAAATTTCAAGAAGTAATCTTTAATTGCACAGTATGGCGCATTAGATTTGTAAAATCTTTGATCACATTTATTTATTTGTTATGCCGAATCTAACAGTGTATTTAGATTTTTAATTTTGGGTCCAGTTTTCAAATTGGTCTACATTAATGTCCAAAGGGTCCAAAATTAAACTTTGTTTGATTTTAGCAAAAATTGAATATATGAGGTTCTTTGATATGCTGAATCTAAACATGTATTTAGATTTTTGATTTTTGGCCCAGTTTTCAAGTTGGTCCAAATTGGGGTCCAAAATTAAACTTTGTTTGATTTCAACAAAAATTGAATATATGGGGTTCTTTGATATGCTGAATCTAACAATGTATTTAGATTTTTTATTTGTGGACCCCGTTATCTAATTGGTTCATATTGAGGTCAAAAGGGTCCAAAATTAAACTTTGTTTGATTTCATCTAAAATTGAATTATTGGGGTTCTTTGATATTCCAAATCTAACTGTGTATTTAGGTTTTTAAATTTGGGTCCTGTTTTTTTAAATTGGTCTACATTGAGGTCCAAAGGGTCCAAAATTAAACTTAGTTTGATTTTGACAAAAATTGAATTCTTGGGGTTCTTTGATTTGCTGAATCTAAACATGTGTTTAGATTTTTGATTATGGGCCCAGTTTTCAAGTTGGTCCAAGATAGGGTCCAAAATTAAACTTTGTTTGATTTCAACAAAAATTGAATATATGGGGTTCTTTGATATGCTGAATCTAAACATGTATTTAGATTTTTGATTATGGGCCCAGTTTTCAAGTTGGTCCAAATTGGGGTCCAAAATTAAACTTTGTTTGATTTCAACAAAAATTGAATATATGAGGTTCTTTGATATGCTGAATCTAACCATGTATTTATATTTTTTATTTATAGGCCCCGCTATCAAATTGGTTCATATTGAGGTCAAAAGGGTCCAAAATTAAACTTTGTTTGATTTCATCGAAAATTGAATTATTGGGGTTCTTTGATATGCCAAATCTAACGGTGTTTTTAGATTTTTAATTTGGGTCCTGTTTTTTAAATTGGTCTTCATTGAGGTGCAAAGGGTCCAAAATTAAACTTAGTTTGATTTCAACAAAAATTGAATTCTTGGGTTTCTTTGATATGCTGAATCTAAACATGTGTTTAGATTTTTGATTATGGGCCCAGTTTTCAAGTTGGTCCAAGTTGGGGTCCAAAATTAAACTTTTTTTGATTTCAACAAAAATTGAATATATGGGGTTCTTTGATATGCTGAATCTAAACATGTATTTAGATTTTTGATTATGGGCCCAGTTTTCAAGTTGGTCCAAATTGGGGTCCAAAATTAAACTTTGTTTGATTTCAACAAAAATTGAATATATGAGGTTCTTTGATATGCTGAATCTAACCATGTATTTATATTTTTTATTTATAGGCCCCGCTATCAAATTGGTTCATATTGAGGTCAAAAGGGTCCAAAATTAAACTTTGTTTGATTTCATCGAAAATTGAATTATTGGGGTTCTTTGATATGCCAAATCTAACGGTGTTTTTAGATTTTTAATTTGGGTCCTGTTTTTTAAATTGGTCTTCATTGAGGTGCAAAGGGTCCAAAATTAAACTTAGTTTGATTTCAACAAAAATTGAATTCTTGGGTTTCTTTGATATGCTGAATCTAAACATGTGTTTAGATTTTTGATTATGGGCCCAGTTTTCAAGTTGGTCCAAGTTGGGGTCCAAAATTAAACTTTTTTTGATTTCAACAAAAATTGAATATATGGGGTTCTTTGATATGCTGAATCTAACCATGAATTTAGATTTTTTATTTGTGGGCCCCGCTATCAAATTGGTTCATATTGAGGTCAAAAGGGTCCAAAATTAAACTTTGTTTGATTTCATCAAAAATTGAATTATTGGGGTTCTTTGATATTCCAAATCTAACCGTGTATTTAGATTTTTAATTTTAAGTCCCGTTTTTTAAATTGGTCTTCATTATGGTTAAAAGGGTCCAAAATTAAACTTAGTTTGATTTTAGCAAAAATTGAATTCTTGGGGTTCTTTGATATGCTGAATCTAAACATGTGTTTAGATTTTTGATTATGGGCCCAGTTTTCAAGTTTGTCCAAGTTGGGGTCCAAAATTAAACTTTGTTTGATTTTAACAAAAATTGAATATATGGGGTTCTTTGATATGCTGAATCTAACCATGTATTTTGATTTTGGACATTGGACCATAATAGGTAAATTAAAAAAATTCAAGTTCTTAGACCACATTCTTTCTGTGTCAGAAACCTATGCTGTGTCAAATATTTAATAACAATCCAAATTCAGAGCTGTATCAAGCTTGAATGTTGTGTCCATACTTGCCCCAACTGTTCAGGGTTCGACCTCTGCGGTCGTATCAAGCTGCGCCCCAGCGAAGCATTTTATTTAAATTTGTCTACATTAAGGTCCAAAGGGTCCAAAATTAAACTTAGTTTGATTTTAACAAACATTGAATTCTTTTGGTACTTTGATATGCTGAATCTAAACATGTGTTTAGATTTTTGATTATGGGACCAGTTTTCAAGTTTGTCCAAGTTGGGGTCCAAAATTAAACTTTGTTTGATTTCAACAAAAATTGAATATATGAGGTTCTTTGATATGCTGATTCTAACCATGTATTTTGATTTTGGACATTGGACCATAATAGGTAAATTAAAAAAATTGAAGTTCTTAGACCACATTCTTTCTGTGTCAGAAACCTATGCTGTGTCAAATATTTAATCACAATCCAAATTCAGAGCTGTATCAAGCTTGAATGTTGTGTCCATACTTGCCCCAACTGTTCAGGGTTCGACCTCTGCGGTCGTATCAAGCTGCGCCCAGCGAAGCATTTTATCTTGAATATTATTATAGATAGAGATAAATTGTAAACAGCAATAATGTACAGCAAAGTAAGATCTACAAATAAGTCACATGACCAAAATTGTCAATTGACCCCTTAAGGAGTTATTGCCCTTTATAGTCAATTTTTTACAATTTTCATAAATTTTGTAAATTTTTGTAAATTTTTACAAAATATTTTCCACTGTAACTACTGAGCCAAGTTCATTATAGATAGAAATAATTGTAAGCAGCAAGAATGTTCAGTAAAATAAGATAATACAAACACATCACCATCACCCAAACACATTTTTATACGACCGCAAAAAAATTTTTGTGGTCGTATATTGGTATGACGTTGGCGTCGTCGTCGTCCGGCGTCGTCGTCGTCGTCGTCGTCGTCGTCCGGCGTCGTCCGAAGACACATTGGTTTTCGCACTCTAACTTTAGTTTAAGTGAATGGATCTTTATGAAATTTTACCACAAGGTTCAATACCACAAAAGGAAGGTTGGGATTGATTTTGGGGGTTATGGTAATAACAGTAAAGGAATTAGGGGCCAAAAAGGGGCCAAAAATAAGCATTTTTGTAACTTCCAGACATAACTTGTGTGTTAGTGTATGGATCTCTCTGACATTGTACCACAAGGTTCCATATCACTAAAGGAATGCTGGGATTGATTTTGGAGGTAATTGCCTCCAAATTTTAGGAATTAGGGGCCAAAAAAGGGGCAAAAAACAAGCATTTTTCTAGTTTCATGACAATAACTTGTGTGTAAGTGTATGGATCTTTCTGAAATTGTACTACAAGGTTCCATATCACAAAGGGAAAGCTGGGTTTGAGTTTGGGGGTAATTGCCCTAAACGTTTAGGAATTTGGGGCCAAAAAGGGGCCAAAAAACACATTTTTTTCTAGTTTCCAGACAATAACTTGTGTTCAATGAAGTTAGATCAAGTCCGCATTTTGTTCCAGTCTGATGATTTAGTCCAGAGTTATGGACCATAACTCTGGACCATATCTAATGTTAGAGTACTATGTTAAACCATATGTCTGTACAAAGGGAGATAACTCATTTTTCATTGATGAATCATAAGGGGGGCGGGGGTCAAAAAAGGGGTAATTTTTTTTTTTCCTTTTTTTTTTGTTTAAAATTTACATTTTAAGTTAGTTATTTTTTATCACGAAGAGAAAGTAGGAATTGAGTTTTGGGGTTAATTGCTCAAACATTTATGAATAAGGGGCCAAATATTGGTCGAAAATAAGGATTTTTTTAGTTTGCAACAAAAACTTGTGTTCAAGTGTATGGATCTCTGTGAAATTGTATTGCAATGTACCATACCACAAATTGAAGGTTGTGATTGAGGTGGGGGATGATGAATCAAAAGGGGGTTGAAAAAATGTGTGGGGGGTAGGATTTTTTTTTTTCCTTTTTTTTTTCTTTAAAATTTTCCATTTAAAGATGGTTGTTTCAGATTTATATATGAAAGAAAATAATAATGATACGGTTATATATCATGAGGAATTGAAATTTAAAATTATGTATATTGGAAATTTAGGTTACATTGGAAAGTAATAATTGGCTTTGGGGAGGCGGGGGGTGGTTATGGCTCTAATGTTTAAGGAATAAGGGGAAAAAAGGTTAAAAAACAAGGGTTTCCATTTTAATAGACAAATAATTGAGTAAAGAACATTATTTAAAAGCAGTGTAAGGTTGGTAATTCAAACTCATTTAAATATCTCATCTACACTGCTTTTAAATTATGTAAATTGGAAATTTGCCAATAACTTTATTGTTAATAAATGCATTGGAAATTTGCCAACAATTTTAGTGTAATAAACTTCATTGGAAATTTGCCAATATAAAATTTTGCTGATGAAGGTTTTTTGTTTACCTTTAGCCTTGACTATGAAGTCATTTTCTATTTTTATAGCCTTATGATGTAGTTGAATTATTTAATACTTTTATGATGTGTTTAAATGGGGTTTTATCATGTTTATGGTTGCAAATTTATTGTTTTAGTATAATAAACTCCATTTAAAATTTGCCAATAAAAAAAAGTTTTGTTTATTTTTAGCTATGATTATGATGTCATTTTCTATTTTACTTTTATGGTTGCAAAGAAATTTTTATTTTTAGATATTACTGTTAAATGATGCTGATTAAGGTTTTTGCTATGTTTAGCCATGACTATGATGTCATTTTCTATTTTAATATCTGTTATGATGTATTTAAATGGGCTTTTATGGTTACAAAGGAATTTTATTTTTATACGACCGCAAAAAAATTTTTGTGGTCGTATATTGGTATGACGTTGGCGTCGTCGTCGTCGTCGTCGTCGTCGTCGTCCGGCGTCGTCGTCCGGCGTCGTCGTCCGAATACACAATAGTTTTCGCACTCTAACTTTAGTTTAAGTGAATGGATCTCAATGAAATTTTACCATAAGGTTCAATACCACAAAAGGAAGGTGGGGATTGATTTTGGGGGTTATGGTACTAACAGTTAAGGAATTAGGGGCCAAAAGGGGCCAAAAATAAGCATTTTTGTAACTTCCAGACATAACTTGTGTGTAAGTGTATGGATCTCTCTGACATTGTACCACAAGGTTCCATATCACAAAGGGAATGCTGGGATTGATTTTGGGGGTAATTGCCTCCAAATTTTAGGAATTAGGGGCCAAAAAGGGGCAAAAAACAAGCATTTTTCTAGTTTCATGACAATAACTTGTTTGTAATTGTATGGATCTTTATGAAATTGTACTACAAGGTTCCATATCACAAAGGGAATACTGGGATTGATTTTTGGGGTAATTTCCTCCAAATTTTAGGAATTAGGGGCCAAAATGGGGCAAAAAACAAGCATTTTTATACGACCGCAAAAAAATTTTGTGGTCGTATATTGGTATGACGTTGGCGTCGTCGTCGTCGTCGTCGTCGTCGTCGTCGTCCGGCGTCGTCGTCGTCGTCCGGCGTCGTCGTCCGAATACATATTGGTTTTCGCACTCTAACTTTAGTTTAAGTGAATGGATCTTTTTGAAATTTGACCATAAGGTTAAATACCACAAAAGGAAGGTTGGGATTGATTTTGGGGGTTATGGTACCAACAGTTAAGGAATTAGGGGCCAAAAAGGGGCCAAAAATGAGCATTTTCTAGTTTCCAGACAATAACTGTGGAACGGTGTATGGATCTCTCTGAAATTATACTACAAGTTTCCATACCACAAAGGGATGGTTAGGATTTGCTTTGGGGGGTTATGGCTCAAACCGTTTAGGAATTAGGGGCAAAAAAGGGGGAAAAACAAGGTTGTCCTGGTTAATGGACAAATACTTTAGTACAAAACATAATTTAAAGCAGTGTAAGGGAGATAAATCAAATACATCATTGAAATTATCTCCCTTACACTGCTTTTAAATTATGTATAAAGTAATGGTTAATGAACAATAAAGATAATCTAAAACAGTGTAAGGGAGGTAATCAAAATACAACGTTTTGGTTACTTCCCTTACACTGCTTTTAAATTATGTTTAAAGAAATGCATATTTATAAAGGAAGACCAGTAAAAATATCTGCAAATGTTTTCATCTTTTTTTTTTACAAAAAAATCCATATGAAAGATTTGACACTATATTTTTATTAATTCTATTATAAAATAGATTAAGTTAGCACTATGGTAAATTTAAATGGGTAATTATGGTTGCCAACTCCTTTGGAAATTTGAATTGAGATTATGACCATATCTTGAGGGAAAGAATTTTTTTGGGGGAAAAAGGGGGGGGGGGGATAAAAAGAAATTGTGGGGGGCCAATTTTTTCTCATTTCAGATTTCAGAAATTAAAAAGAATTATTCTTCAAATATTATTTTTTTTTCAAATTTCAAATATTGAAAAATTTCAAGAAGTAATCTTTAATTGCACAGTATGGCGCATTAGATTTGTAAAATCTTTGATCACATTTATTTATTTGTTACGCTGAATCTAACAGTGTATTTAGATTTTTAATTTTGGGTCCAGTTTTCAAATTGGTCTACATTAATGTCCAAAGGGTCCAAAATTAAACTTTGATTGATTTTAGCAAAAATTGAATATATGAGGTTCTTTGATATGCTGAATCTAAACATGTATTTAGATTTTTGATTTTTGTCCCAGTTTTCAAGTTGGTCCAAATTGGGGTCCAAAATTAAACTTTGTTTGATTTCAACAAAAATTGAATATATGGGGTTCTTTGATATGCTGAATCTAACCATGTATTTAGATTTTTTATTTGTGGACCCCATCATCTAATTGGTTCATATTGAGGTCAAAAGGGTCCAAAATTAAACTTTGTTTGATTTCATCTAAAATTGAATTATTGGGGTTCTTTGATATTCCAAATCTAACCGTGTATTTAGATTTTTAATTTTGGGTCCTGTTTTTTAAATTGGTCTACATTGAGGTCCAAAGGGTCCAAATTAAACTTAGTTTGATTTTAACAAAAATTGAATTCTTGGGGTTCTTTGATTTGCTGAATCTAAACATGTGTTTAGATTTTTGATTATGGGCCCAGTTTTCAAGTTGGTCCAAGATAGGGTCCAGTATTTAAACTTTGTTTGATTTCAACAAAAATTGAATATATGGGGTTCTTTGATATGCTGAATCTAAACATGTATTTAGATTTTTGATTATGGGCCCAGTTTTCAAGTTGGTCCAAATTGGGGTCCAAAATTAAACTTTGTTTGATTTCAACAAAAATTGAATATATGAGGTTCTTTGATATGCTGAATCTAACCATGTATTTAGATTTTTTATTTGTAGGCCCCGCTATCAAATTGGTTCATATTGAGGTCAAAAGGGTCCAAAATTAAACTTTGTTTGATTTCATCGAAAATTGAATTATTGGGGTTCTTTGATATGCCAAATCTAACCGTGTTTTTAGATTTTTAATTTGGGTCCCGTTTTTTAAATTGGTCTTCATTGAGGTCCAAAGGGTCCAAAATTAAACTTAGTTTGATTTTAACAAAAATTGAATTCTTGGGGTTCTTTGATATGCTGAATCTAAACATGTGTTTAGATTTTTGATTATGGGCCCAGTTTTCAAGTTGGTCCAAGTTGGGGTCCAAAATTATACTTTTTTGGATTTCAACAAAAATTGAATATATGGGGTTCCTTGATATGCTGAATCTAACCATGAATTTAGATTTTTTATTTGTGGGCCCCGCTATCAAATTGGTTCATATTGAGGTCAAAAGGGTCCAAAATTAAACTTTGTTTGATTTCATCAAAAATTGAATTATTGGGGTTCTTTGATATTCCAAATCTAACCGTGTATTTAGATTTTTAATTTTAAGTCCCGTTTTTTAAATTGGTCTACATTAAGGTCCAAAGGGTCCAAAATTAAACTTAGTTTGATTTTAGCAAAAATTGAATTCTTGGGGTTCTTTGATATGCTGAATCTAAACATGTGTTTAGATTTTTGATTATGGGCCCAGTTTTCAAGTTTGTCCAAGTTGGGGTCCAAAATTAAACTTTGTTTGATTTTAACAAAAATTGAATATATGGGGTTCTTTGATATGCTGAATCTAACCATGTATTTTGATTTTGGACATTGGACCATAATAGGTAAATTAAAAAAATTCAAGTTCTTAGACCACATTCTTTCTGTGTCAGAAACCTATGCTGTGTCAAATATTTAATAACAATCCAAATTCAGAGCTGTATCAAGCTTGAATGTTGTGTCCATACTTGCCCCAACTGTTCAGGGTTCGACCTCTGCGGTCGTATCAAGCTGCGCCCCAGCGAAGCATTTTATTCTAGTTTCATGACAATAACTTGTTTGTAAGTGTATGGATCTTTATGAAATTGTACTACAAGGTTCCATATCACAAAGGGAAGGCTGGGATTGATTTTGGGGGTTTTCCCTCAAAATTTTAGTAATAAGGGGCCATAAAAGGGCAAAAAAAACATGCATTTTTCTAGTTTCAGGACAATAACTTGTGTGTAAGTGTATGGATCTTTATGAAATTGTACTGCAAGGTTCCATATCACAAAGGGAAAGCTGGAATTGAGTTTGGGGGTAATTGCCCTAAACGTTTAGGAATTTGGGGCCAAAAAGGGGCCAAAAAACAAGCATTTTTCTAGTTTCCAGACAATAACTTGTGTTCAAGTGTATGAATCTCTCTGAAATTGTACTGCAAGGTACCATACCACAAAGGGAAAGCTGGGATTGAGTTTGGGGGTGATGAATCATAAGGGGGTTCAAAAAATTGGGGGGGATTTTTTTTTTCATTTTTTTTCTTTAACATTTTCCATTTTAAATTAGTTATTTCTGATTTATATATAAAAGCAAATAATAATGATATGGTTTGAATAGGCATACATGTGAACCTCCCGACGGGAGTACAATAATCCCGTTTTCAGGGGTCTCCTCCCGACCTCTCGTTGAAGAGGAAAAAATCCCGTGTATGAAATTTTTCATGAATGAAAAATTTCTGCCCAACATATCATCTCAGGCATCTGGTGTAACTGACATTACCTGAAGTTATATTTTACCTGTAAATCAATTAACATGCATAATTATATGGCTTCACTTGTCAGCTTGGGTGTCAAACATCATGGTAATCAACGATTTTTACCTCAGGCTAACTGCCGTTGTGTAACAAAAACTGTGTATTTATTGGGTTACTTCCCTTGATTTATCCTGTTTTAAGTTACTTTCCTTTTAATAATGAAAATTTTTAAAAGAATATAAATAAAATATAAATTGAACAAATAATCATAAAAGGATGGTTATTAAATGATTTTAAATGTCTTAGGACAAATAAAAAAATAATAATTTGAAAATTATTTGAGGATTCTATACTTCCTTTCAAGGCTTAAATTGAAATTTATATAATAACTATGACCCTAATTTTACAGAAAGAATGATTTTCTGAGTTTGCAAATAAAAACTATTTGCAAGAGAATAAAAACAAAAAAAAAACATATTTGCAGATAGCTAAACAAATGTTCTGGTTGCAATGATTGTTTTTATACGACCGCAAAAAAATTTTGTGGTCGTATATTGGTATGACGTTGGCGTCGTCGTCGTCGTCGTCGTCGTCGTCGTCGTCCGGCGTCGTCGTCGTCGTCCGGCGTCGTCGTCCGAATACATATTGGTTTTCGCACTCTAACTTTAGTTTAAGTGAATGGATCTTTTTGAAATTTGACCATAAGGTTAAATACCACAAAAGGAAGGTTGGGATTGATTTTAGGGGTTATGGTACCAACAGTTAAGGAATTAGGGGCCAAAAAGGGGCCAAAAATGAGCATTTTCTAGTTTCCAGACAATAACTGTGGAACGGTGTATGGATCTCTCTGAAATTATACTACAAGTTTCCATACCACAAAGGGATGGTTAGGATTTGCTTTGGGGGGTTATGGCTCAAACCGTTTAGGAATTAGGGGCAAAAAAGGGGGAAAAACAAGGTTGTCCTGGTTAATGGACAAATACTTTAGTACAAAACATAATTTAAAGCAGTGTAAGGGAGATAAATCAAATACATCATTGAAATTATCTCCCTTACACTGCTTTTAAATTATGTATAAAGTAATGGTTAATGAACAATAAAGATAATCTAAAACAGTGTAAGGGAGGTAATCCAAATACAACGTTTTGGTTACTTCCCTTACACTGCTTTTAAATTATGTTTAAAGAAATGCATATTTATAAAGGAAGACCAGTAAAAATATCTGCAAATGTTTTCATCTTTTTTTTTTACAAAAAAATCCATATGAAAGATTTGACACTATATTTTTATTAATTCTATTATAAATTAGATTAAGTTAGCACTATGGTAAATTTAAATGGGTAATTATGGTTGCCAACTCCATTGGAAATTTGAATTGAGATTATGACCATATCTTGAGGAAAAGAATTTTTTTGGGGGAAAAAGAGGGGGGGGGGATAAAAAGAAATTGTGGGGGGCCAATTTTTTCTCATTTCAGATTTCAGAAATTAAAAAGAATTATTCTTCAAATATTATTTTTTTTTCAAATTTCAAATATTGAAAAATTTCAAGAAGTAATCTTTAATTGCACAGTATGGCGCATTAGATTTGTAAAATCTTTGATCACATTTATTTATTTGTTATGCCGAATCTAACAGTGTATTTAGATTTTTAATGTTGGGTCCAGTTTTCAAATTGGTCTACATTAATGTCCAAAGGGTCCAAAATTAAACTTTGTTTGATTTTAGCAAAAATTGAATATATGAGGTTCTTTGATATGCTGAATCTAAACATGTATTTAGATTTTTGATTTTTGGCCCAGTTTTCAAGTTGGTCCAAATTGGGGTCCAAAATTAAACTTTGTTTGATTTCAACAAAAATTGAATATATGGGGTTCTTTGATATGCTGAATCTAACCATGTATTTAGATTTTTTATTTGTGGACCCCGTTATCTAATTGGTTCATATTGAGGTCAAAAGGGTCCAAAATTAAACTTTGTTTGATTTCATCTAAAATTGAATTATTGGGGTTCTTTGATATTCCAAATCTAACCGTGTATTTAGGTTTTTAATTTTGGTTCCTGTTTTTTAAATTGGTCTACATTGAGGTCCAAAGGGTCCAAAATTAAACTTAGTTTGATTTTAACAAAAATTGAATTCTTGGGGTTCTTTGATTTGCTGAATCTAAACATGTGTTTAGATTTTTGATTATGGGCCCAGTTTTCAAGTTGGTCCAAGATAGGGTCCAGTATTTAAACTTTGTTTGATTTCAACAAAAATTGAATAAATGGGGTTCTTTGATATGCTGAATCTAAACATGTATTTAGATTTTTGATTATGGGCCCAGTTTTCAAGTTGGTCCAAATTGGGGTCCAAAATTAAACTTTGTTTGATTTCAACAAAAATTGAATATATGAGGTTCTTTGATATGCTGAATCTAACCATGTATTTAGATTTTTTATTTGTGGGCCCTGCTATCAAATTGGTTCATATTGAGGTCAAAAGGGTCCAAAATTAAACTTTGTTTGATTTCATCGAAAATTGAATTATTGGGGTTCTTTGATATGCCAAATCTAACCGTGTTTTTAGATTTTTAATTTGGGTCCCGTTTTTTAAATTGGTCTTCATTGAGGTCCAAAGGGTCCAAAATTAAACTTAGTTTGATTTTAACAAAAATTGAATTCTTGGGGTTCTTTGATATGCTGAATCTAAACATGTGTTTAGATTTTTGATTTTGGGCCCAGTTTTCAAGTTGGTCCAAGTTGGGGTCCAAAATTAAACTTTTTTTGATTTCAACAAAAATTGAATATATGGGGTTCTTTGATATGCTGAATCTAACCATGAATTTAGAATTTTTATTTGTGGGCCCCGCTATCAAATTGGTTCATATTGAAGGTCAAAAGGGTCCAAAATTAAACTTTGTTTGATTTCATCAAAAATTGAATTATTGGGGTTCTTTGATATTCCAAATCTAACCGTGTATTTAGATTTTTAATTTTAAGTCCCGTTTTTTAAATTGGTCTACATTAAGGTCCAAAGGGTCCAAAATTAAACTTAGTTTGATTTTAGCAAAAATTGAATTCTTGGGGTTCTTTGATATGCTGAATCTAAACATGTGTTTAGATTTTTGATTATGGGCCCAGTTTTCAAGTTTGTCCAAGTTGGGGTCCAAAATTAAACTTTGTTTGATTTTAACAAAAATTGAATATATGGGGTTCTTTGATATGCTGAATCTAACCATGTATTTTGATTTTGGACATTGGACCATAATAGGTAAATTAAAAAAATTCAAGTTCTTAGACCACATTCTTTCTGTGTCAGAAACCTATGCTGTGTCAAATATTTAATAACAATCCAAATTCAGAGCTGTATCAAGCTTGAATGTTGTGTCCATACTTGCCCCAACTGTTCAGGGTTCGACCTCTGCGGTCGTATCAAGCTGCGCCCCAGCGAAGCATTTTATATAGAATATGAAGTAAAAAATTTAAAGAACATACTGGAAAAAAACAATGTTAGATTGAACATGTAGAATATAAAGATGGAGAAACTTTATAAGTACAAGGGTACTATAAACATAATAAATTGGATGGAAAGTTGAAGAAAACACACTTTAAAAGACCATTTTTACAGCACACGGTTACATTTACAACAAAATTAATGTCGATTAAAAACCTCCTGATCTGAGTCCTAATCTCCTGACCAAAATTTCCCAATCTCCTGATCTGAGTTTCACAGTCCATCACATGTATGAATAGGTAAATTGAAAATTTTTAAGTTCTTAGACCACTTTCATTCTGTGTCAGAAACCTATGCTGTGTCAAATATTTAATTACAATCCAAATTCAGTGCTGTATCAAGCTTGAATGTTGTGTCCATACTTGCCCCAACTGTTCAGAGTTCGACCTCTGCGGTCGTATCAAGCTGCGCCCCAGCGGAGCATTTTATTAGATATTACTATAAAATGTTGCTGATGCTGATTAAGGATTTTGTTTATTTTTAGCCATGACTATGATGTCATTTTATATTTTAATACCTTTATGATGTAATTTCCATTTTTATACAACCGCAAAAAAATTTTGAGGTCGTATATTGGTATGACGTTGGCGTCGTCGTCGTCGTCGTCGTCGTCCGGCGTCGTCGTCCGAATACACAATGGTTTTCGCACTCTAACTTTAGTTTAAGTGAATGGATCTCTATGAAATTTTACCATAAGGTTCAATACCACAATAGGAAGGTGGGGATTGATTTTGGGGGTTATGGTACCAACAGTTAAGGGCCAAAAAGGGGCCGAAAATAAGCATTTTTGTAACTTCCAGACATAACTTGTGTGTTAGCATATGGATCTCTTTGACATTGTACCACAAGATTCCATATCACAAAGGGTCAATGCTTGGATTGATTTTGGGGTTAATTGCCTCAAAATTTTAGGAATAAGGGGCCAAAAGGGGGCAAAAAACAAGCATTTTCTAGTTTCATGACAATAACTTGTGTGTAAGTGTATGGATCTTTCTGAAATTTTACTACAAGGTTCCATTTTACAAAGGGAAAGCTGGAATTGAGTGTTGTGGTAATTGCCCAAAACGTTTAGTAATAAGGGGCCTAAAAAGGGGTTTAAAATAAGCATTTTTTAGTTTCTAGACAATAACTTGTGTTCAAGTGTATGGATCTCTCTAAAATTGTATTACAAGGTACCATACCACAAAGGCAAGGCTGTTATTGAGCTTGGTTTGGGGGGAAAGGGGGGTGGGGGTGATGAATCATAAGGGGGGCGGGGGTCAAAAAAGGGGTAATTTTTTTTTTTCCTTTTTTTTTTTGTTTAAAATTTACATTTTAAGTTAGTTAGAGGGGGGGGGGGGGGGGTTGGTTATGGCTCTAATGTTTAAGGAATAAGGGGAAAAAAGGTTAAAAAACAAGGGTTTCCATTTTAATAGACAAATAATTGAGTAAAGAACATTATTTAAAAGCAGTGTAAGGTTGGTAATTCAAACTCATTTAAATATCTCATCTACACTGCTTTTAAATTATGTAAATTGGAAATTTGCCAATAACTTTATTGTTAATAAATGCATTGGAAATTTGCCAACAATTTTAGTGTAATAAACTTCATTGGAAATTTGCCAATATAAAATTTTGCTGATGAAGGTTTTTTGTTTACCTTTAGCCTTGACTATGAAGTCATTTTCTATTTTTATAGCCTTATGATGTAGTTGAATTATTTAATACTTTTATGATGTGTTTAAATGGGGTTTTATCATGTTTATGGTAGCAAATTTATTGTTTTAGTATAATAAACTCCATTTAAAATTTGCCAATAAAAAAAATTTTTGTTTATTTTTAGCTATGATTATGATGTCATTTTCTATTTTACTTTTATGGTTGCAAAGAAATTTTTATTTTTAGATATTACTGTTAAATGATGCTGATTAAGGTTTTTGCTAGGTTTAGCCATGACTTTGATGTCATTTTTATACGACCGCAAAAAAATTTTGAGGTCGTATATTGGTATGACGCTGGCGTCGTCGTCGTTGTCGTCCGGCGTCGTCGTCCGAATACACAATGGTTTTCGCACTCTAACTTTAGTTTAAGTGAATGGATCTCTATGAAATTTTACCATAAGGTTCAATACCACAATAGGAAGGTGGGGATTGATTTTGGGGGTTATGGTACCAACAGTTAAGGAATAAGGGGCCAAAAAGGGGCCGAAAATAAGCATTTTTGTAACTTCCAGACATAACTTGTGTGTTAGCATATGGATCTCTTTGACATTGTACCACAAGATTCCATATCACAAAGGGTCAATGCTGGGATTGATTTTGGGGTTAATTGCCTCAAAATTTTAGGAATAAGGGGCCAAAAGGGGGCAAAAAACAAGCATTTTTCTAGTTTCATGACAATAACTTGTGTGTAAGTGTATGGATCTTTCTGAAATTTTACTACAAGGTTCCATTTCACAAAGGGAAAGCTGGAATTGAGTGTTGTGGTAATTGCCCAAAACGTTTAGTAATAAGGGGCCTAAAAAGGGGTTTAAAATAAGCATTTTTTAGTTTCTAGACAATAACTTGTGTTCAAGTGTATGGATCTCTCTAAAATTGTATTACAAGGTACCATACCACAAAGGCAAGGCTGTTATTGAGCTTGGTTTGGGGGGAAAGGGGGGTGGGGATGATGAATCATAAGGGGGGCGGGGGTCAAAAAAGGGGTAATTTTTTTTTTTCCTTTTTTTTTGGTTTAAAATTTACATTTTAAGTTAGTTATTTTTTATCACGAAGAGAAAGTAGGAATTGAGTTTTGGGGTTAATTGCTCAAACATTTATGAATAAGGGGCCAAATATTGGTCGAAAATAAGGATTTTTTTAGTTTGCAACAAAAACTTGTGTTCAAGTGTATGGATCTCTGTGAAATTGTATTGCAATGTACCATACCACAAATTGAAGGTTGTGATTGAGGTGGGGGATGATGAATCAAAAGGGGGTTGAAAAAATGTGTGGGGGTAGGATTTTTTTTTTTCCTTTTTTTTTCTTTAAAATTTTCCATTTAAAGATGGTTGTTTCAGATTTATATATGAAAGAAAATAATAATGATACGGTTATATATCATGAGGAATTGAAATTTAAAATTATGTATATTGGAAATTTAGGTTACATTGGAAAGTAATAATTGGCTTTGGTGGGGGGGGGGGGGGGGGGGGGTTATGGCTCTAATGTTTAAGGAATAAGGGGAAAAAAGGTTAAAAAACAAGGGTTTCCATTTTAATAGACAAATAATTGTGTAAAGAACATTATTTAAAAGCAGTGTAAGGTTGGTAATTCAAACTCATTTAAATATCTCATCTACACTGCTTTTAAATTATGTAAATTGGAAATTTGCCAATAACTTTATTGTTAATAAATGCATTGGAAATTTGCCAACAATTTTAGTGTAATAAACTTCATTGGAAATTTGCCAATATAAAATTTTGCTGATGAAGGTTTTTTGTTTACCTTTAGCCTTGACTATGAAGTCATTTTCTATTTTTATAGCCTTATGATGTAGTTGAATTATTTAATACTTTTATGATGTGTTTAAATGGGGTTTTATCATGTTTATGGTTGCAAATTTATTGTTTTAGTATAATAAACTCCATTTAAAATTTGCCAATAAAAAAAATTTTTGTTTATTTTTAGCTATGATTATGATGTCATTTTCTATTTTACTTTTATGGTTGCAAAGAAATTTTTATTTTTAGATATTACTGTTAAATGATGCTGATTAAGGTTTTTGCTATGTTTAGCCATGACTATGATGTCATTTTCTATTTTAATATCTGTTATGATGTATTTAAATGGGGTTTTATGGTTACAAAGGAATTTTATTTTTAGATATTACTATAAAATGTTGCTGATGCTGATTAAGGATTTTGTTTATTTTTAGCCATGACTATGATGTCATTTTCTATTTTGATACCTTTATGATGTAATTTCCATTTTTAGATATTACTGTTAAATGATGCTGATTAAGGGTTTTTATACGACCGCAAAAAATTTTGAGGTCGTATATTGGTATGACGTTGTCGTCGTCGTCGTCGTCGTCGTCGTCGTCGTCCGGCGTCGTCGTCCGAATACACAATGGTTTTCGCACTCTAACTTTAGTTTAAGTGAATGGATCTCTATGAAATTTTACCATAAGGTTCAATACCACAATAGGAAGGTGGGGATTGATTTTGGGGGTTATGGTACCAACAGTTAAGGAATTAGGGGCCAAAAAGGGGCCGAAAATAAGCATTTTTGTAACTTCCAGACATAACTTGTGTGTTAGCATATGGATCTCTTTGACATTGTACCACAAGATTCCATATCACAAAGGGTCAATGCTGGGATTGATTTTGGGGTTAATTGCCTCAAAATTTTAGGAATAAGGGGCCAAAAGGGGGCAAAAAACAAGCATTTTTCTAGTTTCATGACAATAACTTGTGTGTAAGTGTATGGATCTTTCTGAAATTTTACTACAAGGTTCCATTTCACAAAGGGAAAGCTGGAATTGAGTGTTGTGGTAATTGCCTAAAACGTTTAGTACTAAGGGGCCTAAAAAGGGGTTTAAAATAAGCATTTTTTAGTTTCTAGACAATAACTTGTGTTCAAGTGTATGGATCTCTCTAAAATTGTATTACAAGGTACCATACCACAAAGGCAAGGCTGTTATTGAGCTTGGTTTGGGGGGAAAGGGGGGTGGGGATGATGAATCATAAGGGGGGCGGGGGTCAAAAAAGGGGTATTTTTTTTTTTCCTTTTTTATACGACCGCAAAAAAATTTTTGTGGTCGTATATTGGTATGACGTTGGCGTCGTCGTCGTCCGGCGTCGTCGTCGTCGTCGTCGTCGTCCGGCGTCGTCCGGCGTCGTCCGAAGACACATTGGTTTTCGCACTCTAACTTTAGTTTAAGTGAATGGATCTTTATGAAATTTTACCACAAGGTTCAATACCACAAAAGGAAGGTTGGGATTGATTTTGGGGGTTATGGTAATAACAGTAAAGGAATTAGGGGCCAAAAAGGGGCCAAAAATAAGCATTTTTGTAACTTCCAGACATAACTTGTGTGTTAGTGTATGGATCTCTCTGACATTGTACCACAAGGTTCCATATCACTAAAGGAATGCTGGGATTGATTTTGGGGGTAATTGCCTCCAAATTTTAGGAATTAGGGGCCAAAAAAGGGGCAAAAAACAAGCATTTTTCTAGTTTCATGACAATAACTTGTGTGTAAGTGTATGGATCTTTCTGAAATTGTACTACAAGGTTCCATATCACAAAGGGAAAGCTGGGTTTGAGTTTGGGGGTAATTGCCCTAAACGTTTAGGAATTTGGGGCCAAAAAGGGGCCAAAAAACACATTTTTTTCTAGTTTCCAGACAATAACTTGTGTTCAAGTGTATGGATCTCTCTGAAATTGTACTGCAAGGTACCATACCACAAAGGGAAGGCTGGGATTGAGTTTGGGGGTGATGAATCATAATGGGGGTTCAAAAAATTTTGGGGGGGGGATTTATTTTTTTTTCCTTTTTTTTCTTTTTTTCCTTTTTTGTTTCTTTTAAAATTTTCCATTTTAAGTTGGTTATTTCTGATTTATATTTAAAATCAAATAATAATGATATGGTAGGAGATACACACCAAACAGGATGTGTAAATTATTATATAATAAGTATTGTGCAATAGCAAGAAATTTTCAATTGCACAGTATTGCACAATAGCAAGAAATCTTCAATTGCACAGTATTGCGCAATAGCAAGAAATCTTCAATTGCACAGTATTGCGCAATAGCAAGAAATATCCAATAGCACAATATTGCGCAATAGCAAGAAATTGTCAATTGTACAGTATTGCGCAATAGCAAGAAATATTTAATAGCACAGGATTGTGCAAAAGAAGATACTTCCTATAAATTGCTTATTTCTTGACCAATTTCAATGGGGTTTTATTCTTGATTTCATGGGGTTCTTTAATATGCTGAATATAACCGTGTATTTAGTTTATGGATTTTGGGCCCCGTTTTTAAATTGGTCCACATTGAGGTCCAAAGGGTCCAAAATTAAACTTTGTTTGATTTCATCAAAAATTGAATTATTGGGGTTCTTTGATATGCCGAATCTAACTGTGTATTTAGATTCTTAAATTTTGGTTCCGTTTTCAAATTGGTCTACATTAAGGTCCAAAGGGTCCAAAATTAAACTTAGTTTGATTTTAACAAAAATTGAATTCTTAGGGTTCTTTGATATGCTGAATCTAAACATGTATTTAGATTTTTGATTATGGGCCCAGTTTTCAAGTTGGTCCAAATCGGGGTCCAAAATTAAACTTTGTTTGATTTCAACAAAAATTGAATATATGGGGTTCTTTGATATGCTGAATCAAACCATGTATTTAGATTTTTGATTTTTGGGCCCCGTTATCAACTTTGTCCACATTGAGGTCCAAAGGGTCCAAAATTAAACTTTGTTTGATTTCATCAAAAATTGAATTATTGGGGTTCTTTGATATGCCGAATCTAACCGTGTATTTAGATTCTTAATTTTTGGTTCCGTTTTCAAATTGGTCTACATTAAGGTCCAAAGGGTCCAAAATTAAACTTAGTTTGATTTTAACAAAAATTGAATTCTTAGGGTTCTTTGATATGCTGAATCTAAACATGTATTTAGATTTTTGATTATGGGCCCAGTTTTCAAGTTGGTCCAAATCGGGGTCCAAAATTAAACTTTGTTTGATTTCAACAAAAATTGAATATATGGGGTTCTTTGATATGCTGAATCTAACCATGTATTTAGATTTTTGATTTTTGGGCCCCGTTATCAACTTTGTCCACATTGAGGTCAAAAGGGTCCGAAATTAAACTTTGTTTGATTTCATCAAAAATTGAATTCTTGGGGTTCTTTGATATGCTGAATCTAACCATGTATTTAGATTTTGGATATTGGACCATAATAGGTGAATGTCCAATTTAAAATTTTTAAGTTCTTAGACCACATTCAATCTGTGTTAGAAACCTATGCTGTGTCAAATATTTAATCACAATCCAAATCCAAAGCTGTATCAAGCTTGAATGTTGTGTCCATACTTCCCCCAACTGTTCAGGGTTCGACCTCTGCGGTCGTATCAAGCTGCGCCCTGCGGAGCATTTTATTTTTTGTTTAAAATTTACATTTTAAGTTAGTTATTTTTTATCACGAAGAGAAAGTAGGAATTGAGTTTTGGGGTTAATTGCTCAAACATTTATGAATAAGGGGCCAAATATTGGTCGAAAATAAGGATTTTTTTAGTTTGCAACAAAAACTTGTGTTCAAGTGTATGGATCTCTGTGAAATTGTATTGCAATGTACCATACCACAAATTGAAGGTTGTGACTGAGGTGGGGGATGATGAATCAAAAGGGGGTTGAAAAAATGTGTGGGGGGTAGGATTTTTTTTTTTCTTTAAAATTTTCCATTTAAAGATGGTTGTTTCAGATTTATATATGAAAGAAAATAATAATGATATGGTTATATATCATGAGGAACTGAAATTTAAAATTATGTATATTGGAAATTTAGGTTACATTGGAAAGTAATAATTGGCTTTGGGGGGGGGTGGTGGTGGTTATGGCTCTAACGTTTAAGGAATAAGGGGAAAAAAGGTTAAAAAACAAGGGTTTCCATTTTAATAGACAAATAATTGAGTAAAGAACATTATTTAAAAGCAGTGTAAGGTTGGTAATTCAAACTCATTTAAATATCTCATCTACACTGCTTTTAAATTATGTAAATTGGAAATTTGCCAATAACTTTATTGTTAATAAATGCATTGGAAATTTGCCAACAATTTTAGTGTAATAAACTTAATTGGAAATTTGCCAATATAAAATTTTGCTGATGAAGGTTTTTTGTTTACCTTTAGCCTTGACTATGAAGTCATTTTCTATTTTTATAGCCTTATGATGTAGTTGAATTATTTAATACTTTTATGATGTGTTTAAATGGGGTTTTATCATGTTGATGGTTGCAAATTTATTGTTTTAGTATAATAAACTCCATTTAAAATTTGCCAATAAAAAAAATTTTGTTTATTTTTAGCTATGATTATGATGTCATTTTCTATTTTACTTTTATGGTTGCAAAGAAATTTTTATTTTTAGATATTACTGTTAAATGATGCTGATTAAGGTTTTTGCTATGTTTAGCCATGACTATGATGTCATTTTCTATTTTAATATCTGTTATGATGTATTTAAATGGGGTTTTATGGTTACAAAGGAATTTTATTTTTAGATATTACTATAAAATGTTGCTGATGCTGAATAAGGATTTTGTTTATTTTTAGCCATGACTATGATGTCATTTTCTATTTTAATACCTTTATGATGTAATTTCCATTTTTAGATATTACTGTTAAATGATGCTGATTAAGGGTTTTTTGCTATGTTTAGCCATGACTATGATGTCATTTTCTATTTTAATATCTTTATGATGTATTTAAATGGGCTTTTATGGTTACAAAGGAATTTTATTTTTAGATATTACTTTAAATGTTGCTGATTAAGGATTTTTGTTTATTTTTAGCCATGACTATGATGTCACTTTCTATTTTAATACCTTTATGATGTATTTAAATGGGCTCCCATGTATTTAGATTTTTGATTATTTATACATGTTACCAAATTGGTCCACATTGAACAAAAACGGTCCAAATTTCAACTTTATTACATTACATCAAACATTGAATTCTACATATTCTTTGATATATTGAAATTAACAAACAATTTAGTTTATGGATATTCCACCATAATAGGTAAATTAAATTTTTTCCAGTTCTTACACCACATTCATCCTGTGTCAGAAACCTATGCTGTGTCAAATATTTAATGACAATCCAAAGTCATAGCTGTATCAAGCTTGAATTTTGTGTCCATACTTGCCCCAACTGTTCAGGGTTCGACCTCTGCGGTCGTATCAAGCTGCGCCCCAGCGAAGCATTTTATCTATTTTAATATCTGTTATGATGTATTTGAATGGGCTTTTATGGTTACAAAGGAATTTTATTTTTAGATATAACTATAAAATGTTGCTGATGCTGATTAAGGATTTTGTTTATTTTTAGCCATGACTATGATGTCATTTTCTATTTTAATACCTTTATGATGTAATTTCCATTTTTATACGACCGCAAAAAAATTTTGTGGTCGTATATTGGTATGACGTTGGCGTCGTCGTCGTCGTCGTCGTCGTCGTCGTCGTCGTCCGGCGTCGTCGTCCGAATACACAATGGTTTTCGCACTCTAACTTTAGTTTAAGTGAATGGATCTCTATGAAATTTTACCATAAGGTTCAATACCACAATAGGAAGGTGGGGATTGATTTTGGGGGTTATGGTACCAACAGTTAAATAATTAGGGGCCAAAAAGGGGCCGAAAATAAGCATTTTTGTAACTTCCAGACATAATTTGTGTGTTATTGTATGGATCTCTTTGACATTGTACTACAAGATTCCATATCACAAAGGGTCGATGATGGGATTGATTTTGGGGTTAATTTCCTCGAAATTTTAGGAATAAGGGGCCAAAAGGGGGCAAAAAACAAGCATTTTTCTAGTTTCATGACAATAACTTGTGTGTAAGTGTATGGATCTTTCTGAAATTTTACTACAAGGTTCCATTTCGCAAAGGGAAAGCTGGAATTGAGTTTTGTGGTAATTGCCCAAAATGTTTAGTAATAAGGGGCCTAAAAAGGGGTGAAAAATAAGCATTTTTTAGTTTCTAGACAATAACTTGTGTTCAAGTGTATGGATCTCTCTAAAATTGTATTACAAGGTACCATACCACAAAGGCAAGGCTGTTATTGAGCTTGGTTTGGGGGGGAAGGGGGGGGGTGATGAATCATAGGGGGGGGGGGGGGGTCAAAAAAGAGGTAATAATTTTTTTTTCGTTTAAGGAATAAGGGGAAAAAAGGTTAAAAAACTAGGGTTTCCATTTTAATAGACAAATAATTGAGTAAAGAACATTATTTAAAAGCAGTGTAAGGTTGGTAATTCAAACTCATTTAAATATCTCACCTGCACTATGTTTGAATTATGTAAATTGGAAATTTGCCAATTATTTTAGTATAATAAACTTCATTGGAAATTTGCCAATATAAAATTTTGCTGATGAAGGTTTTTTGTTTACCTTTAGTCTGACTATGATGTCATTTTCTATTTTAATAGCCTTATGATGTAGTTAAATTTTTTTTAATACTTTTATGATGTATTTTAATGCGCTTTTATGGTTGCAAATTTATTGTTTTAATATAATAAACTCCATTGGAAATTTACCAATAGTTTGTTTATTTTTAGCTATGACTATGATGTCATTTTCTATTTAATTTTAAGGTTACAAATTAATTTCAGTTTTAAATATTATTGTAAAATGTTTGCCCAAAACATTTATTAATAAGTGGCCAAAAAAGGGGGCAAAAATAAGCATTTTTTTAGTTTCCAGACATTAACTTGTGTTCAAGTGTATGGATTTCTCTGAAATTGTACTTAAAGGTACCATACCACAAAGGGAAGTGGGTCAAAAAAATTTTTTGGGGGGGGGATTTTTTTTCCTTTTTTTTTTCTTTAAAATTTTCCATTTTAAGTTGGTTAATTCTGATCACAAAGAGAAAGTTGGAATTGAGTTTGGGGGATAATTGCTCAAATGTTTAGGAATAAGGGGCTAAAAAAGGGGTTAAAAATAAGCATTTTTTTTTAGTTTCCAACAATTAATTGTGTTTAAGTAATTGGATCTCTGTGAAATTGTACTGCAAGGTACCATACCACAAACTGAAGGCTGGGATTGAGTTTGGGGGGGCGTGATGTGTGAAAATTTTCCACTTAAAGTTGGTTAATTATTTCTGATTTAGATATAAAAGCAAATAATAATGATGTGGTTTGATTTTATCAAAAACTTAAATTGAAGTTATGTATATTGTAAATTTAGGTTACATTGGAATTTAAGAATTGGCTTTGGGGTAGGGTTATGGCTCAAACCTTTAAATAATAAGGGAAAAAAAGGTGAAAAAACAAGGGTTTCCAGGTTAATAGACAAATAAGTACAAAACATTATTTAAAAGCAGTGTAAGGTTGGTAATTCAAACTCATTTAAATATCTCACTTACACTGCTTTTAAATTATGTAAATTGACAATTTGCCAATAACTTTATTGTTAATAAATGCATTGGAAATTTGCCAACAATTTTAGTATAATAAACTTCATTGGAAATTTGCCAATATAAAATTTTGCTGATGAAGGTTTTTTGTTTACCTTTAGCCTTGACTATGAAGTCATTTTCTATTTTTATAGCCTTATGATGTAGTTGAATGTAGTTGAATTATTTAATACTTTTATGATGTGTTTAAATGGGGTTTTATGGTTGCAAATTTATTGTTTTAGTTTAATAAACTCCATTTAAAATTTGGTAATAAAAAAAATTTTTGTTTATTTTTAGCTATGATTATGATGTCATTTTCTATTTTACTTTTATGGTTGCAAAGAAATTTTTATTTTTAGATATTACTGTTTAATGATGCTGATTAAGGTTTTTGCTATGTTTAGCCATGACTATGATGTCATTTTCTATTTTAATATCTGTCATGATGTATTTAAATGGGCTTTTATGGTTACAAAGGAATTTTATTTTTAGATATTACTGTAAAATGTTGCTGATTAAGGATTTTGTTTATTTTTAGCCATGACTATGATGTCATTTTCTATTTTAATACCTTTATTATGTAATTTCCATTTTTATACGACCGCAAAAAAATTTTTGTGGTCGTATATTGGTATGACGTTGGCGTCGTCGTCGTCGTCGTCGTCGTCGTCGTCGTCCGGCGTCGTCGTCGTCGTCCAGCGTCGTCGTCCGAATACGCATTAGTTTTCGCACTCTAACTTTAGTTAAAGTGAATGGATCTCTGTGAAATTTTACCATAAGGTTCAATACCACAAAAGGAAGGTGGGGATTGATTTTGGGGGTTATGGTACCAACAGTTAAGGAATTAGGGGCCAAAAAGGGGCCAAAAATAAGCATTTTTTTGTTTCCAGACAATAACTGTGGAACAGTGTATGGATCTCTCTGAAATTATACTACAAGTTTCCATACCACAAAGGGATGGTTAGGATTTGCTTTGGGGGGTTATGGCTCAAACCGTTTAAGAATTAGGGGCAAAAAAGGGGGAAAAACAAGGTTGTCCTGGTTAATGGACAAATACTTTAGTACAAAACATAATTTAAAGCAGTGTAAGGGAGATAAATCAAATACATCATTGAAATTATCTCCCTTACACTGCTTTTAAATTATGTATAAAGTAATGGTTAATGAACAATTAAGATAATTTAAAACAGTGTAAGGGAGGTAATCCAAATACAACGTTTTGGTTACTTCCCTTACACTGCTTTCAAATTATGTTTAAAGAAATGCATATTTATAAAGGAAGACCAGTAAAAATATCTGCAAATGTTGCATCTTTTTTTTTTACAAAAAAATCCATATGAAAGATTTGACACTATATTTTAAATTCTATTATAAAATAGATTAAGTTAGCACTATGGTAAATTTAAATGGGTAATTATGGCTGCAAATTCCATTGGAAATTTGAATTGAGATTATGACCATATCTTGAGGGAAAGAATTTTTTGGGGGAAAAGGGGGGGGGGGGGGGGGGGGGGGGGTAAAAAGAAATTGTGGGGGTCAATTTTTTCTCATTTCAGATTTCAGAAATTTATTCTTCAAATATTGTTTTTTTTCAAATTTCAAATATTGAAAAATTTCAAGAAGTAATCTTTAATTGCACAGTATGGCGCATTAGATTTGTAAAATCTTTGACCACATTTATTTATTTGTTATGCCGAATCTAACCGTGTATTTAGAGTTTTAATTATGGGTCCAGTTTTCAAATTGGTCTACATTAAGGTCCAAAGGGTCCAAAATTAAACTTTGTTTGATTTTAACAAAAATTGAATATATGGGGTTCTTTGATATGCTGAATCTAAACATGTATTTAGATTTTTGATTTTTGGCCCAGTTTTCAAGTTTGTCCAAATTGGGGTCCAAAATTAAAATTTGTTTGATTTCAACAAAAATTGAATATATGAGGTTCTTTGATATGCTGAATCTAACCATGTATTTAGAATTTTTTATTTGTGGGCCCCGCTATCAAATTGGTTCATATTGAGGTCAAAAGGGTCCAAAATTAAACTTTGTTTGATTTCATCAAAAATTGAATTATTGGGGTTCTTTGATATGCCAAATCTAACCGTGTATTTAGATTTTTAATTTTGGGTCCCGTTTTTTAAATTGGTCTACATTAAGGTCCAAAGGGTCCAAAATTAAACTTAGTTTGATTTTAACAAAAATTGAATTTTTGGGGTTCTTTGATATGCTGAATCTAAACATGTGTTCAGATTTTTGATTATGGGCTCAGTTTTCAAGTTGGTCCAAGTTGGGGTCCAAAATTAAACTTTGTTTGATTTCAACAAAAATTGAATATATGGGGTTCTTTGATATTCTGAATCTAAACATGTATTTAGATTTTAGATTTTTGGCCCAGTTTTAAAGTTGGTCCAAATTGGGGTCCAAAATTAAACTTTGTTTGATTTCAACAAAAATTGAATATATGGGGTTCTTTGATATGCTGAATCTTACCATGTATTTAGATTTTTTATTTGTGGGCCCGCTATCAAATTGGTTCATATTGAGGTCAAAAGGGTCCAAAATTAAACTTTGTTTGATTTCATCAAAAATTGAATTAATGGGGTTCTTTGATATGCCAAATCTAACTGTGTTTTTAGATTATTAATTTTGGGTCCCGTTTTTTAAATTGGTCTACATTAAGGTCCAAAGGGTCCAAAATTAAACTTAGTTTGATTTTAACAAAAATTGAATTCTTGGGGTTCTTTGATATGCTGAATCTAAACATGTGTTTAGATTTTTGATTATGGGCCCAGTTTACAAGTTGGTCCAAGTTGGGGTCCAAAATAAAACTTTGTTTTATTTCAACAAAAATTAAATATATGGGGTTCTTTGATATGCCAAATCTAAACATGTATTTAGATTTTAGATTTTTGGCCCAGTTTTCAAGTTGGTCCAAATTGGGGTCCAAAATTAAACTTTGTTTGATTTCAACAAAAATGAATATATGGGGTTCTTTGATATGCTGAATCTTACCCTGTATTTAGATTTTTTATTTGTGGGCCCGCTATCAAATTGGTTCATATTGAGGTCAAAAGGGTCCAAAATTAAACTTTGTGTGATTTCATCAAAAATTGAATTATTGGGGTTCCTTGATATGCCAAATCTAACTGTGTTTTTTAGATTTTTAATTTTGGGTCCCGTTTTTTAAATTGGTCTACATTAAGGTCCAAAGGGTCCAAAATTAAACTTAGTTTGATTTTAACAAAAATTGAATTATTGGGGTACTTTGATATGCTGAATCTAAACATGTGTTTAAATTTTTGATTATGGGACCAGTTTTCAAGTTTGTCCAAGTTGGGGTCCAAAATTAAACTTTGTTTGATTTCAACAAAAATTGAATATATGGGGTTCTTTGATATGCTGAATCTAACCATGTATTTTGATTTTGGACATTGGACCATTATAGGTAAATTAAAAAAATTGAAGTTCTTAGACCACATTCTTTCTGTGTCAGAAACCTATGCTGTGTCAAATATTTAATCACAATCCAAATTCAGAGCTGTATCAAGCTTGAATGTTGTGTCCATACTTGCCCCAACTGTTCAGGGTTCGACCTCTGCGGTCGTATCAAGCTGCGCCCAGCGAAGCATTTTATTAGATATTACTGTTAAATGATGCTGATTGAGGGTTTGAATGCTGGGATTGATTTTGGGGGTAATTGCCTCCAAATTTTAGGAATTAGGGGGCAAAAAACAAGCAATTTTCTAGTTTCATGACAATAACTTGTGTGTAAGTGTATGGATATTTATGAAATTGTACTACAAGGTTCCATATCACAAAGGGAAAGCTGGAATTGAGTTTGGGGGTAATTGCCTCCAAATTTTAGGAATAAGGGGCCAAAAAGGGGCAAAAAACAAGCATTTTTCTAGTTTCATGACAATAACTTGTGTGTAAGTGTATGGATCTTTATGAAATTGTACTACAAGGTTCCATATCACAAAGGGAAAGCTGGAATTGAGTTTGGGGGTACTTGCCCAAAACGTTTAGGAATAAGGGGCCAAAAATAAGCATTTTTCTAGTTTCCAGACAATAACTTGTGTTCAAGTGTATGGATCTCTCTGAAATTGTACTGCAAGGTACCATACCACAAAGGGAAGGCTGGGATTGTTTTTGGGTGTAATTGTCCCAAAATGTTAGGAATTAGGGGCCATAAAGGGGCAAAAAAACAAGCATTTTTCTAGTTTCATGACAATAACTTGTGTGTAAGTGTATGGATCTTTATGACATTGTACTGCAAGGTTCCATATCACAAAGGGAAAGCTTGGTTTGAGTTTGGGGGTAATTGCCCGAAACTTTTAGGAATTTGGGGCCAAAAAGGTGCAAAAAACCCAAGCATTTTTCTAGTTTCCAGACAATAATTTGTGTTCAAGTGTATGGATCTCTCTGAAATTGTACTGCAAGGTACCATACCACAAAGGGAAGGCTGGGATTGAGTTTGGGGGTGATGAATCATAAGGGGGTTTCAAAAAATTTGGGGGGGGGATTTTTTTTTCCTTTTTTTTCTTTAAAATTTTCCATTTTAAATTGGTTATTTCTGATTTATATATAAAAGCAAATAATAATGATATGGTTTGAATAGGTAAATTAAAAAATTTTAAGTTCTTAGACTACTTTCATTCTGTGTGAGAAACCTATGCTGTGTCAAATATTTAATTACAATCCAAATTCAGTGCTGTATCAAGCTTGAATGTTGTGTCCATACTTGCCCCAACTGTTCAGGGTTCGACCTCTGCGGTCGTATCAAGCTGCGCCCCAGCGGAGCATTTTATTAGATATTACTGTTAAATGATGCTGATTAAGGGTTTTTTGCTATGTTTAGCCATGACTATGATGTCATTTTCTATTTTAATATCTTTATGATGTATTTAAATGGGCTTTTATGGTTACAAAGGAATTTTATTTTTAGATATTACTTTAAATGTTGCTGATTAAGGATTTTTGTTTATTTTTAGCCATGACTATGATGTCACTTTCTATTTTAATACCTTTATGATGTATTTAAATGGGCTCCCATGTATTTAGATTTTTGATTATTTATACATGTTACCAAATTGGTCCACATTGAACAAAAACGGTCCAAATTTCAACTTTATTACATTACATCAAACATTGAATTCTACATATTCTTTGATATATTGAAATTAACAAACAATTTAGTTTATGGATATTCCACCATAATAGGTAAATTAAATTTTTTCCAGTTCTTACACCACATTTATCCTGTGTCAGAAACCTATGCTGTGTCAAATATTTAATGACAATCCAAAGTCATAGCTGTATCAAGCTTGAATTTTGTGTCCATACTTGCCCCAACTGTTCAGGGTTCGACCTCTGCGGTCGTATCAAGCTGCGCCCCAGCGAAGCATTTTATTAGATATTACTGTTAAATGATGCTGATTAAGGGTTTTTTGCTATGTTTAGCCATGACTATGATGTCATTTTCTATTTTAATATCTTTATGATGTATTTAAATGGGCTTTTATGGTTACAAAGGAATTTTATTTTTAGATATTACTTTAAATGTTGCTGATTAAGGATTTTTGTTTATTTTTAGCCATGACTATGATGTCACTTTCTATTTTAATACCTTTATGATGTATTTAAATGGGCTCCCATGTATTTAGATTTTTGATTATTTATACATGTTACCAAATTGGTCCACATTGAACAAAAACGGTCCAAATTTCAACTTTATTACATTACATCAAACATTGAATTCTACATATTCTTTGATATATTGAAATTAACAAACAATTTAGTTTATGGATATTCCACCATAATAGGTAAATTAAATTTTCTCCAGTTCTTACACCACATTCATCCTGTGTCAGAAACCTATGCTGTGTCAAATATTTAATGACAATCCAAAGTCATAGCTGTATCAAGCTTGAATTTTGTGTCCATACTTGCCCCAACTGTTCAGGGTTCGACCTCTGCGGTCGTATCAAGCTGCGCCCCAGCGAAGCATTTTATTATTTTCATAAATTTCTAATATGACATTGAGAAGAAATTGAACTTTATTTGTTTATAGTCTGACAACAGATTTACTAAGTATTGCACAACAGCAAGAAATCTTTAACTGAACATAAATTCAATTCATATAACCAATTTCAAGTTCTTTGGCTACATTTACTCAGAAACCTATAATATGTCAAATATTTAATTACAATCCAAATTCTGACCTGAATCAAGCTTGAATATTGTTTCCATTTTTGCCCCAACTGTTCAGGGTTGGACCTCTGCGGGCGTATCCAGCTGCGCTTAGCGAAGCAGTTTATTAGTCATGCTTGAAGATATTGACTTGATATTCTCTTTTTGTTTACACTATGACAAGTTATAGTTTGTTCCAGTATAATGAATTTTTACCCGGTAGGAGACTATGTATTGCCATGCAATACTCTCAGAATGCTTGTTTATTTCATAAACCACATTCATTCTGTGTCAGAAACCTATGTTGTGTACAATATTTAATCACAATCCAAATTCAGGGCTGTATCAAGCTTGACTGTTGTGTCCATACTTGACCAACTGTTTAGGGTTCGACCACTTTGATCGTATTAAGCTGCGCCCTGCGAAGCATTTTATTTAAAAAGGGCACACTCCCTGTCAAATAAGATGCTTAGTCAGTTAAAAGTCAAAATTAATTATATCAGAACAAAGATTTGACATTTGCCATCAATATTTGTCGATTTTTATCACGTAAGAATTTCACAAGATCATCGTATATGACGGTGTTCTTGATCATACGTTACGGGTTGTTATAGAGCACGGTGTTCTTGAACATACGAATCGTTAAAGAGCACGGTTTCCTTGACCATACGAGATGTTATAGAGCACGGTGTCAACGATCCTTGGTCATACGAGTTGTTATGCATTACGATGTCCTTGGTCATACGAGTTGTTATGCATTACGATGTCCTTGGTCATACGAGTTGTTATGCATTCCGATGTCCTTGGTCATACGAGTTGTTATGCATTACGATGTCCTTGGTCATACGAGTTGTTATGCATTCCGATGTCCTTGGTCATACGAGTTGTTATGCATTACGTTGTTCTTGGCCATACGAGTTGTTATAGATCAAGATATCCTTAAATACGAGTTGTTCAATAGATGTCCTTGATAATATGTATCCTTATGGAGCACGGTGTCCTTGATCATACGAATTGTGATAGGGCACACACGGTGTACTTGATCCTATAAGTCGTTCGTGTATTGTCCTATAGAGCACAAGAAGCGAATACATTCGATATGTTTTATCTGTTAGTTCTTGTCACTAAAAATGATAACACTTGTAATGTCCAAAAAATTATGATTATAAATTATCTAGTAAAGCTTATATTAAATGCAATTAAACATGTTTGGATAAGAAAAATCCCTTCTATCTAAATTCAAATCAATACTTTTCCATTGAATTTATACATCTATGCTTTTCAGGATTTTCCAGCATTACCATGGTTTCTAGGATTTTGTTTTGGAAACACAGCTCCAGAAGATTCAATTGTACACAGCTGTAAAGATATTAACGAAAATAATCTAAATGAATTGGTCCAGTCCCATCCAGTTCCGTATGCTCACGTGAAAAGTTTGGACAAGCACCTCACAGAGGACAGTAAGAAAGCCATAGCTTTGAAAGAGAAGAAAGTTGACACATTATTGTGGTAAGATTGTACACGGTTACATATATGATACAGATAAGTTTAAAAACAATTATGGACAGTAGTGACGATTTTTAGGAATTTGAAACTTCGTTTAGTCATTTTTTATACGACCGCAAAAAAAATTTTGTGGTCGTATATTGGTATGACGTTGGCGTCGTCGTCGTCGTCGTCGTCCGTAGACACATTAGTTTTCGCACTCTAACTTTAGTTTAAGTGAATGGATCTCAATGAAATTTTACCATAAGGTTTAATACCACAAAAGGAAGGTGGGGATTGATTTTGGTGGTTATGGTACTAACAGTTAAGGAATTAGGGGCCAAAAAGGGGCCAAAAATAAGCATTTTTGTAACTTCCAGACATAACTTGTGTGTAAGTGTATGGATCTCTCTGACATTGTACCACAAGGTTCCATAGCACAAAGGGAATGCTTGGATTGATTTTGGGGGTAATTGCCTCCAAATTTTAGGAATTAGGGGCCAAAAAGGGGCAAAAAACAAGCATTTTTCTAGTTTCATGACAATAACTTGTGTGTAAGTCTATGGATCTCTCTGACATTGTATCACAAGGTTCCATATCACAAAGGGAATGCTGGGATTGATTTTGGGGGTAATTGCCTCCAAATTTTAGGAATAAGGGGCCAAAAAGGGGCAAAAAACAAGCATTTTTCTAGTTTCATGACAATAACTTGTGTGTAAGTGTATGGATCTTTATGAAATTGTACTACAAGGTTCCATATCACAAAGGGAAAGCTGTAATTGAGTTTGGGGGTAATTGCCCAAAAAGTTTAGGAATAAGGGGCCAAAAAGGGGCCAAAAATAAGCACTTTTCTAGTTTCCAGACAATAACTTGTGTTCAAGTGTATGGATCTCTCTGAAATTGTACTGCAAGGTACCATACCACAAAGGGAAGGCTGGGATTGATTTTGGGGGTAATTCCCTCAAAATTTTGATAATAAGGGGCAATAAAAGGGCAAAAAAACAAGCATTTTTCTAGTTTCAGGACAATAACTTGTGTGTAAGTGTATGGATCTTTATGAAATTGTACTGCAAGGTTCCATATCACAAAGGGAAAGCTGGGTTTGAGTTTGGGGGTAATTGCCATAAACGTTTAGGAATTTGGGGCCAAAAAGGGGCAAAAAAAACAAGCATTTTTCTAGTTTCCAGACAATAACTTGTGTTCAAGTGTATGGATCTCTCTGAAATTGTACTGCAAGGTACCATACCACAAAGGGAAGGCTGGGATTGAGTTTTGGGGTGATGAATCATAAGGGGGTTCAAAAAATTGGGGGGGGATTTTTTTCCCCTTTTTTTTCTTTAAAATTTTCCATTTTAAATTGGTTATTTCTGATTTATATATAAAAGCAAATAATAATGATATGGTTTGAATAGGTAAATAAGTTCTTAGACCACTTTCATTCTGTGTCAGAAACCTATGCTGTGTCAAATATTTAATTACAATCCAAATTCAGTGCTGTATCAAGCTTGAATGTTGTGTCCATACTTGCCCCAACTGTTCAGGGTTCGACCTCTGCGGTCGTATCAAGCTGCGCCCCAGCGGAGCATTTTATTAACCAGACTTTCGAAGGAAAAATCGGTTATTGATTTGGGGATGTACGGCGGGCGGGCGGGCGGGCGGGCGGCTGCCAAACAGTGTCCATTCATTAACATGCAAATTTAGATATGTTGTTTCCTGTAACTAAATGAAGGTCAAGTTCAATTTTCACGATTTTAGCTTTTCTCGTTGTTGAGTTGTCGACCTTTTAGTAGCAAAAAGTTATACTTATTATATGATTGAGTTATTTCCCTTTGAACAGAATTGGTGATTTGTAAATATCATTTTCATTAGATAATAATCTATTTTTATTGAAGGATATATTCCATTACATTACATTGTGTAGATAACATTGTTGACATTGATAGATAAGTTGCAGATCTATATTAGTTTGTGACAAAATGAAAGAAAAAATATTGGGAACTATTAATTATATATATAAAGTTTGATTACACTAAGTGTTTTTAAATAATTTTCACCTGTTATCAGATAACAAAGCCTCTGGTAAATATCTTATCACACAATTGTAATTGTAGTGACAGATTTATTCAATCTATTGATGATGATAAGATCTGTAGGACAGTATAAATAAAGTTTGAAATTTACTGTTCATTATTAGACATTTAAAGATAATTACAGATAAATTTTATAGATTATTAATAGATATTGTATTAATGATTAATGACATTTTGGATTTTTTTTCTTCTTTTCTATGGTAAATTGTTTGAAGAATTTTGTGGTAGGTTTGTTTTGTCATTCTGTATAAACTTATTTTCTGAATGCTATATATTTTTTTTGATGAAGTGAACTCCTTTAAAAACTAAGCTTATACCGTGTTCACACTATAAGATCTTCATCGGGTCGAACCCGGGTTAATTAACCCGAATAAATTACCCTTCACACTTGATAAAAAGTTTTACCCGGTATAGGATTTTTCCTCTCAACAAAAATAGAAATGTTAGCGCCAAAATTATAACCCGCATCTGTCCTATTAAATATTTACATTTTTTTTTTCATCACATATGCATTATTTTAAAGTCTGAAGTTTTTTACCGCACTTATAGCCGTTTTGGAGGAGTTTGATCACCATCAACCACTATCCGTGTTTTAAAATAACGTCACTTCATCCAAATTGCACCCATTTTTCGCCCAAAAAAGCGACGGAAAATCATACAGGTTTCATCGTTTGTCATTATGCAGGTTTTTATACGACCGCAAAAAAATTTTGCGGTCGTATATTGGTATGACGTTGGCGTCGTCGTCGTCGTCGTCGTCCGAAGACACATTGGTTTTCGCACTCTAACTTTAGTTTTAGTTAATGGATCTCTATGAAATTTTACCATAAGGTTCAATACCACAAAAGGAAGGTTTGGATTGATTGTGGGGGTTATGGTTCAAGGAGTTAAGGAATTAGGGGCCAAAAAGGGGCCAAAAATAAGCATTTTTGTAACTTCCAGACATAACTTGTGTGTTAGTGTATGGATATCTCCGACATTGTACCACAAGGTTCCATATCACAAAGGGAATGCTTGGATTGATTTTGGGGGGACCGGTAATTGCCTCAAAATTTTAGGAATTAGGGGCAAAAAAAGGGGCAAAAAACAAGCATTTTTCTAGTTTCATGACAATAACTTGTGTGTAAGTCTATGGATCTTTCTGAAATTGTACTACAAGGTTCCATATCACAAAGGGAAAGCTGGAATTGAGTTTGGGGGTAATTGCCCAAAACGTTTAGGAATAAGAGACCAAAAAGGGGTCAAAATAAGCATTTTTCTAGTTTCTAGACAATAACTTGTGTTCAAGTGTATGGATCTCTCTGAAATTGTACTGCAAGGTACCATACCACAAAGGGAAGGCTGGGATTGATTTTGGGGGTAATTGCCTTTAAATTTTAGGAATTAGGGGCCAAAAAGGGGCAAAAAACAAGCATTTTTCTAGTTTCATGACAATAACTTGTGTGTAAGTCTATGGATCTTTCTGAAATTGTACTACAAGGTTCCATATCACAAAGGGAAAGCTGGAATTGAGTTTGGGGGTAATTGCCCAAAACGTTTAGGAATAAGAGACCAAAAAGGGGTCAAAATAAGCATTTTTCTAGTTTCTAGACAATAACTTGTGTTCAAGTGTATGGATCTCTCTGAAATTGTACTGCAAGGTACCATACCACAAAGGGAAGGCTGGGATTGATTTTGGGGGTAATTGCCTTTTAATTTTAGGAATTAGGGGCCAAAAAGGGGCAAAAAACAAGCATTTTTCTAGTTTTAGGACAATAACTTGTGTGTAAGTGTATGGATCTTTATGAAAATGTACTACAAGGTTCCATATCACAAAGGGAAAGCTGGGTTTGAGTTAGGGGGTAATTGCCCTAAATGTTTAGGAATTTGGGGCCAAAAAGGGGCAAAAAAACAAGCATTTTTCTAGTTTCTAGACAATAACTTGTGTTCAAGTGTATGGATCTCTCTGAAATTGTACTGCAAGGTACCATATCACAAAGGGAAAGCTGGGATTGAGTGTGGGGGTGATGAATCATAAGGGGGTTCAAAAAATTTGGGGGGGGGATTTTTGTTTCCTTTTTTTTTCTTTGAAATTTTCCATTTTAAATTGGTTATTTCTGATTTATATATAAAAGCAAATAATAATGATATGGTTTGAATAGGTAAATTAAATTTTTTTTAAGTTCTTAGACCACATTCATTCTGTGTCAGAAACCTATGCTGTGTCAAATATTTAATCACAATCCAAATTCATGCTGTATCAAGCTTGAATGTTGTGTTCATACTTGCCCCAACTGTTCAGGGTTCGACCTCTGCGGTCGTATCAAGCTGCGCCCAGCGGAGCATTTTATTTTCTTTAAAGTCGTAAACTCGACAAAAAATAGGCCATAAACGCTTTTTTGGGGTATAAGCGTTTCTGATTAAGGTGAATACAGAAATGCGCGATTCGGACGCAAAAATGTAGAAAGTGGTTTTTATACGACCGCAAAAATTGAAAATTTTTTGGTCGTATATTGGTATGACGTTGGCGTCGTCGTCGTCGTCGTCGTCGTCGTCGTCGTCGTCTGGCGTCGTCCGGCGTCGTCCGAAGACACATTGGTTTTCGCACTCTAACTTTAGTTCAAGTGAATGGATCTCCATGAAATTTTACCATAAGGTTTAATACCACGAAAGGAAGGTGGGGATTGATTTTGGGGGTTATGGTACCAACAGTTAAGGAATAAGGGGCCAAAAAGGGGCCAAAAATAAGCATTTTTGTAACTTCCAGACAATAACTTGTGTGTAAGTGTATGGATCTCTCTGACATTGTACCACAAGGTTCCATATCACAAAGGGAAGGCTGTAATTGATTTTGGGGGTAATTGCCTCAAAATTTTAGGAATTAGGGGCCAAAAAAGGGGCAAAAAACAAGCATTTTTCTAGTTTCATGACAATAACTTGTGTGTTAGTGTTTGG